GGAAGAGCGACGACGAACTGTCGTGAATCAGCGCGAGATAATACAACATACGCGATCACGGACCGCGTCTCGTATACGAAATAACATGTACACATTATTATACCGGTGCTTCGAATGTACGCACTTGCCACTACCGCGTTTATTTACACGCGAGATATACACATGGAGAGAAAGAGGGAGAGAGAGAGAAAGCGACAAGTACGCGGGCCGAGCGCTATGTTCGCGCGGGACTATTCGGAACCGAAGACGCCCGAGTCGACCCGAAGATGCGCGAAGTTCGCGGCGCTTCGAACGATCGACCGCGATCAAAATATTATTGACACAACTTTTATTACGCACACCAGACGACATTACGCTTTCTCGAACGATCCGATTGTTATAGTTCCGTCCTATAATCTATAGTGGAATATCTATGATAGCGCTTTCGCGAAGTTATATCGCTTATATAGGATATTACATACATCCACGTATATTCGTGTAACGCTTTGCGACACTCGCGCTTTCTCGACTGTGTCGGTTCTGTTCCGCGTTCCTTTCGTCGATGTTCGTGAAGTTGCATACGCGCGAAGATCACACCTAAAGAAGCCGTTAAGCTATTCTCTCCTCTTGAATGCGTGTGTCGATAGATATATCGGGAGTGTCGAATTGTGATTTTGAACGGCGTATCAATTAAAAGATTCGCGGTAATAAGTGTTGAGTGCTCTCTTCGATTCGAATTGCGATTGGCAGGAGGACAGTCTATGATTATCCGAACATTGTTGAACCGCTAACCGCCAACGCTCGATTATCCGCGAACCGCCATATAAAGCTTGACTATATTTAATCGGTACGATCGCAACGTGTCGTTTTAAACGAGGTTCAATCAATAATTAATTAACGAGTAGACGTGATTTATACGTCTTTCGGGAGTATCGATAGTTAGTGCGTGTAATTATCAAACGGAAATTGCCTTGGATAAAGCAATTGGCAACGGAAACGATACGAGTCTGTGTGTGGTGAGTTAATTATATTTATTATGCTTGAATGATTAAATCATTATTTATTCCCGATGATCTCATATAATAATAATAATATATAGCAATTAATAAATACATATTGTAGATATAGTAGACAGAAAGAGAGAGAGAGAGAGAAAGAGAAAAGAAGAGAGAGGGGGGAAAGAGAGAGAGAGAAAGAAGAAATATAGGCAAATAAATAATAAGCATATTTTCGTTATTTTATATGACTTTTGTAAGAAAATTTAAGAAAGTTATATTTGTGTGTGAAAAGAGGCAACGCTTGTGAAAATCGGCGGCTTTCTTCTTGCAGATTTAATATTCTGATTACACTTGGGATAAAGTATCGCTTGCATACACGTCTTGTCGAGACACTATTTAACCTCCGATTGTTAATCAGTCACGAATACAAAGCGTTACGTTGTAATATAATAGCATAGCGTTAGCAAAGGTTTTAAAAAGAATAACAAATATAGTAAGGATATATTATACGGGTACCCTTCTTTTTTCTCTGTCGCTAAGATCTAAAAATCCCTCGACCGAAAGCGCTACTATTTTACATGTACATATAGGGTGTCTCTAATCAACAATCATGCTCGCTTCTCATATCAGATATTATGTGAGAAAAAGAATGTTACACGAATATATTTTAAACATGTGCAGGTGAAATATAATTTTACTGTGCTATTAATAGTATTTTACTGAACGATAATTAAAATTAATATCATAAATTCAATAATATATCCCATCTTTAAGAAAATATTTGAATGCTTCTTGCTTGAATAACAATTTTTTCGGTCTTTAAGGAAAATGTTAAATAGATCTCTCTATTACTATTTTACTGTACTACTGTTTTATTTGTGCAAAATTAATCAAAAATAAAATAAAGTTTGTTTTATTCATACAAAGATATTTTGCTTGCTTATATATTTTATATTATTTTATATATAAATATGTTTAATGTTTAAATTAATTAATAAAAATTACTTTAAAAAACAAAATTTTTTTATTATCTTTACATATATATAATTTTTTTTGCTCGTGAATATTGTTGAAAATAAGTTAAAGTGATTGATCCATGACACCCTATATGTATATATGAGAACGCTGAGATGTTTGCGCAATGAGCTTGCTGTTCTTTTACTAATTAAAGTCTCATTCTTTGATCTTAAAAGTTCGTGTTGGCAAATAGAAGAAACTGTCGATTTTCCGGGCCAATGCTCAATTGCACAAATCTCGAAGAGAGTTCGCTGCTTCTTCGTCGAGTCGTGTTCCTTTTATCCATCTGTGACCGAATGTCTTGAAAAAAATTATCTATATGAAACTGTTACAGGAAAATAATCCAAACATTTAAATTATTTTTATTTTCCTTATTTTCTTTATTTCTGATTTTATTTGTTATATCCGATTATCTCGTTAATAAATAATTCACGTATAAAATATTATAAATGTATGCATTTAAATAACAAAAAAGTACATTTCAAAAATGAAATCGAGAACCTTGTCAAAAATATTGTGTATAATATAAAATATAAAATATGTTTGACAATGAGTCAGATTTAGAACATAACATACAAAAAGAGTATATTTTGCAATTAAATTTATTTTATCTTGCTATTTTTTATTTTTTTTTTTATTTTGGTTTCTCTTAACATATCTTTCTACTAACGCTTTGCGCTTCTTAAAAATAAATGGTTTCTGCACGTAAAACATTTTATCGACTTTATCTTACAATATAGTAAAAGCACGTTGAAGCATCTTAATTGATAGCACAAGAGACATAGCATTATATAGTGCCATTTTCACGAAATCCCCTCATTTCGCTATTTATTCAATGATAATTATATATCTTTTTGTGCTGCGCGCATGCTATTTACCATGATATCTTGCTTTTCTTCGCCGATTGCATTGTTATTACCGCACGAACTATAATCTTAACCAAATCTCGTGAAATTATTGTCGTAAAACAAGCGCTACTTGATGGCGAAATGCGGCAGTATATATAAACTTATATACATGCGGCAATAAATTTAAATTCCAATTTCGCCGAATGCAGTCCACAGCGGAGTACTCTCGAAGCGTTCCTCTCGAATGCTCATTTGTATCCGAGTAAAATATTTACTATGTTTCTTGGACGACCTAACAACGCTCTTCATTTATAGTTTTCGTTATGTCTAATGGAAACCTAATGACTTCAATAAGTTACAATAAGGCAATAATAGATTATGCATCATTAACTTGCCATTAACCTAGAATGCGAACAAGCAAATCTTTTTCTCAATATCAAAATTGCATAGAATTTCATGCATAGCTTTCTACTTGAAACATTTTTTTTAATTTTATATAAAATCTTAAAAAAGATTAATGCAAAAATCATGAACGCAAAATTGAGAGAGTATAATGTAGAAATAAATGTTGAAATAGTTATTTGTTTCATTGTTTAGATAATAATTTTACAATTTCGACGCGGAATATTCAGTCTCTTGATCGTATGCACTAAATAAATTTCTTAATCTATTTTTTTGCGAGAACATACTAATAATTCAGCTGTGAGATTGATTACGGGTTTAATTCTCTGAAGAAAGAACCGAGTACAAATACAGGAAAACTGGACATATGCAACTGTGATTAGAGTATAGCTAATCGATGTTTTATTGTTAGATCCTCTTCTAGAAAAAATTAATGGTAAGAGTAAAGCGAGACGAGTAACGAGATCATGATGCTCGATAAGTTCTGACAAGCGCAATTGCGCCTTTCGAACGGTGCTCGTTTAGACTGAGCATTTCCACAGAGCTGTTCCTTTCTTTTGTTCGACGAGCTTGCGTAACGACTAAAGTTTCCGCCGATCGCGCTTTTCTTGACGGTCTTTCGGCGTGAGACTCGCGATTTGGCCTCTTTGATATCACTCGCTGTTACCAAGTATCGAAAGTAATAATGACTCATTAAGCTTCGACGAGCGAGTAAATAATGCCGATAGAAGTTCATTATGGAAGTCTATGAAGTACAAAGTTAATGGGAGAATTTTTACATATACATGTAAATGATTGTTGATCGTATTATGTTGCACTAGTGAAATTTTTTGTATTTTACAGAAATAATTTTTGAACCGTCATAACATAATTAGAGAATAAAAATAAACATTGCAATTAGCAAATTTCTTGAAATAATTTACGTTTGTGCGTCCTACATACATTTTTATTTATTAATAAAAAAATATAAAGATATTTAAAAATTAAAATTTTTCAATATATCTTTTATTTGCATTTTTATGTTTGTATTAATAAAAAAAATTTTATTTAAATCGAATTTTTTTAAATATACAGAAATAAAAAAAATTAATTAAAATGTAATAAAAATCTTTTAGTAACTTCATGAAAAGAGTAAGCTTTTATTCAATTTAAAGTTTTACAAAATGTTTAATTTTATTTAAAGAAATTTATTTAATTTGATTTATTTCACAAAATACATATAAGTTTAATTTAATAATAAACTTATAAAACAGTCCATTTTTTTAAATATTTTTACGCACTTGAAAAAGAGAGAGAAAAGTTTGAACGTGTTTGTAAAAAATTTTTTATGTATTTTCTGCTGTTTTATTTTATATCAAATACAAGCAAATTTTATAGGACACAAAGAATTTCTTAAAGACAATCAAACAGTTTTTCTTCTTCATGCAAACTTATCACGCGTTTCTGAATTAGACATAGAGCCGCAGATCATAGATACAAATCACGTGAGCATGCTTCCTGACGCGGAACTAATAGAGGTACAACAAGGTGGGCAAACAGTAGCGAAGGTTCTCCTGATTGCAACGAATTAGAGTGTCCCATGTAGCGATTCGGACTGTGCGAGCAGGCGGGGGCAACGATGCGGTCTAGATGAACCCAGGCAAACCTACGAGTGTGGTCACCTTGTTTTGTTCAGACTGCAGAGAATGCGATGGGTACCAG